TTTTATACAAGGAACACTTGATCTGGCAATCCGTCATATACACAACTAGTCTATTTGGCATTACAACAAACATAATTTGATATAAAGGCTGAGTCAAATGTAAGCCTTTGTATAAAAACTAATGTATTTTAATTTATATTGTCGCAGCGAATTCAAATTTTAAGACGGAACACATGCTCAAAATTTACGAATGAAGATAGTAAATATTTCCTTTCAAAATTGCTCTGTTATATAGAAAACAAAACAATATTCTTACCTGGAAGTTACTCAGTCATCCCTGATGTTCCATCTTCGCTAAAATATACCATCTTCCAGTAAAATACTATAAATCTTTCGATCGAGCAGATGAAAATTCAATGCATTTCAAAAATATGGCGGTGTGATCGAATAAAAAAGATCACTGATCGAATGATGCTATCCCAGGAGGCTTTGCGCGTGTTGTAGGAAAACTAGGCACCAGTCTGTCAACCGTCAAAAAGCGCTCATCATGAGAATTTTCGTTTTCAAAATGGTCTTTTGTATAACAAAAATACCTACCTCCACAAGCTATAATATAGTTCCCATGAAGTCATGAAGAATTTAAGATTAACTCAATCCCTCAATCAAAACATTGGTATCGAAATTGAGGAGACCGGACTCAGGCCTGGAACACCTGAGGGCCCAACTTGCGGGCAGGGGGCCCTGGCATGCTGGAATTGCGAAATTTGTAAAATTAAGGATTTGTTTGGTGAATTATGGAATTTTCTGGGAAATTTAGGTCGAAAATTAGTGTTGCGAAAAATTTTGGGGACTTTTGTTTTCGGAAACATAACGTCGCCCCATCCCCCCCCCCACTCGCGACCGTTTTCCGGAAAAGAAAATGTTTTCGAGGGGGTCCTGCTTGGGTAGGGAGGCCCAAATTTTTTAATACGCCCCCCCCCCCCCAATCATATACCGGTTGGCACGGCCCTGTCAGTTTATACTATAATAATTAGTCAGTATAGTCTTTTAAATAGAAAATGCTTGAAGAATTAAGTTCAAGAAACTTGAAGAAGGAATATCTTCAAAGAACTGCCAACATTTCACATGTTGTCTTTTATTCTCCTGTAACATAACGGTTGTAAATGTAGTTTCAAATCGAGTTGCAAATCTAGGGTTAAAAAAGGTCAAATCTACTCTTTTGAATTTTAATACAGTGTAGGCCAGTTCCAATTACAATTCACTATGACATGAATTACGTGTATGAAATTACTTTAGTTGTCATATGTGAAATGTATAATTTCAAAATATGTGAAATATATGACTTGATTTTCATATACGAAAATTCACATATGAAATTACCAATATTAACATATGAAATGGATTTCATATATGTAAATTGTATATAACTTCATATATGACTTGATTTTCATATATGAAAATTCTTATATGAAATTAGCTACCAAATTTCACGTGTGAAATTTAGTTTTCCATATGTGAAAAAATTTAGTTTTCCATATGTGAAAAAATTTAGTTTTCCATATGGGAAATGGATTTCATATATGAAATTTATTTTTTGATATGTGAATTATATAACTTCATATATGACTTGATTTTCATAATCTGAAGATTCTTATATGAAATTACCAAATTTCAGTGTGAAATGGATTTCATATATGAAATTTAGTTTTTCATATGTGAATTGTATAACTTCATACATGACTTGATTTTCCATATATGAAAATTCTTATATGAAATTACCAAATTTCAGTGTGAAATGGATTTCATATATGAAATTTAGTTTTTTATATGTGAATTGTATAACTTCATATATGACTTGATTTTCATATATGAAAATTCTTATATGAAATTACCAAATTTCACATGTGAAATGGATTTCATATATGAAATTTAGTTTTTCATATATGAAATTAAAATTTCATATATGACCTGCTTTTCATATATGGAAATTTAATATGTGAAAAAGAGAATTTCACATATGAAAGTGAAATTTCATATATGAAATTACCTTTTCACATGTGAAATTCTAATTTCATATATGAAAATCTTCATTTCGTATATGAAATTCCAATTTCATATATGAATTTCACATATGAAAGTGAAATTTCATATATAAAATTACCTTTTCACATGTGAAATTCTAATTTCATATATGAAAATCTTCATTTCATTTAATATGTGAAAAAGAGAATTTCACATATGAAAGTGAAATTTCATATATGAAATTACCTTTTCACATGTGAAATTCTAATTTCATATATGAAAATCTTCATTTCATATATGAAATTCCAATTTCATATATGAATTTCACATATGAAAGTGAAATTTCATATATGAAATTACCTTTTCACATGTGAAATTCTAATTTCATATATGAAAATCTTCATTTCATATACGAAATTCCAATTTCATATATGAATTTTAATGTGAAATTTTTGTAAGGGCAGGTTTATTTTATCTTTATCTATATAGATATATAGATATATAGATATATATGTTCGTATAAATTTTGAAATGCCTTATCCCGCGAACTTCTGCCGAAATCCTGAATTTTGTTACCAGTATAAACGTTAACCTGCAGCGTACGGGACTCTCGCTTCATATCGCATTCAATATGTATAACGTATTTACTGAGACCGAGGGAAACAATGTGTTTTGTGGACACGGCATAGACCGCTGTTGTTGCGGTTGAGGGGCCACAAAACACACGTCTCAGTAAATAACACTAACTAAGTGTTTTGTTATACAGTATATTAGTGTCAAAGTATGAATAATTCACCGGTTACTGATTTTATTAGAAAAAAGTTTTAAAATAAAATGAATTTTAAGGCCATTTTAAGGCAATATTATTATTAATTACATAGGTGATTATCGAAAATTATCCACGCTGATTGGTTGCCGTTGAGGTGATTATAACGTATTGATCACCTAAGCGATTTTCGAAATGGCGGCCGAAGCCGTTTTCCGGTCAATTAAATGACGAAGAAATGTGAATTTTTTATTTTTTCCCGAACAATCACCCATGAAATTATACTAAAACAATTATTCACATCAAGCTTGGTGAATAAAAACCTCTGAATGTTTTAAGTAGTACTTCAAGCAATGATAAAACTGGCAATAGATAGCTTAAGATCTACGACTGATAATGAGCTACTAGCGTAGACAACTTATATAAGGTAGGTTATGCAAATGCCCTAATTATAGCATTTGCCAAGCTGTCCCTAGAGCCCCTATTCCAATAACAAGTACAACAACTCAGCTCGTTCTTAATATAATTTATTTCATAAATCCAAATAAACATGTTTTTACAAATACGTGTGCATAAATAAACTTAATTCATGCAATGTATGTTGAAAGGAAATTTTACCTAACTTTAATGAAAAAATAATAATATTACTATAAACCTCGAGGCTTTTGTAAACAAATGAATTTCGCAAAGACAAGTTTTCCTGCACTTTTATATAATTTTGAACAAAACTGGTAGGAAAAACTGTATTAATATTACAGAATAATTAATGTAGTGTTCGCTATACTTTTTTATAGTGATGAAACTTATTATCTTATATGGAAGCAGATGTCCACTCAAAATGGAATTTTGGGCGTTCTAACCTCCCAAAAACTGTGGACGGCACCTAGCAAGGAACAATATCTGCCAGCATATTTCAAGGAAATATGTGATGAATACCTTTTGTCAGAGGATAAACATAGAGTTTATCCTGTTGAGGTTAGTGGTTCTTATATACATTGGAAGTGAATACCAGTATGGAGCTGGCCTATAGTTAATTAATTGGAATGATTTGTTTAATAAAGCTTTTATCACGGCTTTAATGAACCATTTAAACATCCAAAATGACATTTTAATGTTGTCTGAATTAGTTTGATTCCAGTAACAGAAACGATCTTTTTAATACTGTCAGGCAAAACTTTTGTATACACGATTCAGTTGCTCTTCAATTGTGTTTTTTTTAATAGTGTCTTGGTCTTCAAAGAAATTCCAGACCTGCCACATGGGTGATTGGCTCAGATTTTCACGTTCAACTTCTGGACGGAAAAGCGAAACGTATACTTCCAAGTGAATCGCCATATACAGTGTAATTGAAAACATCCCATTTGTCAGACAATTGGATTTCGAAGGTGATTCAGTGTATAGTGTATATAATTGCAGGTTAATTGTATGTTAGAGTGGTGGAAATGTCTGAGACGGTGGTCGTGAGATAACCGTTAAAGTAGTTAGTATAAGATTCTTTAGGCTTTTGCATAACGATTAATGGTTAATAGAAAAAGGAGAATGTAACACTAACTGTGATTATTGTTTAGGCGACCTTGATGGTGGGAAAAGCCTTATCGAATTGATTGAATTGATGGAACATTATATGAAAGATAATTTTTTGGCAACATTGCTTGTTTTGGGTGGACTTGGGATTGGTGTCCATTATGACCAATTAAATAAAAAATCAGATCGTGGTGTACCGCTCATAATGGCGTACGGACAGCCGGTATCGTGGAAATCAACCGCTACGTCAATTGCAATGTCCATTCTTGGTCATAAAACAAGCATTGGCGGTATGTACAGGGCAGTTTTGCAATGAAAGCAATGTACTTTATTCATATAAGCATATTATACCTGCATGCATGGATTTAAGAAATTGCGAAGCTTGTCAGCTTATCAGATTTAATTTGTTATTAATGTAATAAGATATCCGTGAATGGTTTTTGGCGGAACAGGTGGAATTAGAATTGGTATTTTTATCTTATATTCGACCAAATGTGTACCACGCTACTAATAGTAATATACATTTCAAACCATGAATTCCTAGTTTGTTTCAAGTATAAATACCTGTGAATGCCATATGATAAATTTTTTATTAACCTCGCTTGCTCGGTATGTACACAGAAATATCGGACCTCGGTCTTCTTGTACAAACATCGCCCTATACGCCTACGGGCTCGGTCTGTACCAAAAAGAACAGTCGGTCCGACATTTCTCCATACAAACCTCGCGTTCGATTAATTATAAGAAATTAATGTGTTTTTGTAATTTCTCTAGAATTAACGTCAGCTGGCGCCTTGAAGTTGACCAAAGGTCAAACCCTTCCGTTTTGGTGGGACAATGCGTCAGATTTCTCTGTTCTGGAAGAATTCGCAGTTTCTTCATACAACAACGTAAGAATAATTTTAATGAATATTTTTCTATATATATGGATCATTAATGTACTTTGATCTCCTCATAGCTCATCATTGATACCAACATCTGAATGACAAAACTCACAATTTTACCGCTTTTAGGCCAACCCCAGTAATTACTGTATTGTAAACATACCATAAAGTGATAAAGTTCAAAGTATTTAATAATAAAGTATCCAGTCACAGAGCTTTATTTTTTCAATTTTTTTATTTGAAATTTGTAAGTGCGTTAACCGTTAAATGTACTGCCAGTCTGTTTCCAACAATGTATATAGCTTCCACGGAATTAATCATTTCAAACCGCAAGCAACACGGCGCATGGTCGCACTGCAAAAAATCGAATTCTAGTCTAGAATAATATTCTTATTTTTTAGATTATTTTTCTTATTTTAAGTAAATATTTCTTATCAAGAAATATTTCAAGAAAAAAAATCTAGTTTTAAGAACAAAAATCTTAAAGTAAGAAAATATAACTAGGCAAGAATATTCGAGAGAATATTTTTCTTATTTTAAGAATAACATTTTTCCATCCTAGAATAATATTCTTATAATTAGAAAAACAATCTTGAAATGAAGTTTAATATTATTTATCGCATATATCAAAACCTTTCTTTCGGACGGCAACTCAGTTTGCATGGCCGAAACGATATATGATATTGAATTGAATTAAACCTAGTTCTATTGTATATCTTTCACTTTTTTTGTCAAATTTGAAGCTGAACGGCTCTGTCCTGAATTGTCGCAGTTTCAACATGGCACTATCGTAATGAATTTGCCGGTATATGGCCAATGAATTGTTATTGAAAAATAACAATTATACATGAATTCAAATAATTTGCAACAATCGTCTACCTACACTTTAATGAAGATGGTGTGATCCACCGCAAAAAATGATGTGTAAATTTACCCAAGATTTTGCGTATAAATATCACCACGTTATGACATCACGATTAATGCTGTCACATTTTAAGACATGCGATGCGTTAGTATAGGTAATCATGCGATGGCGAGTACAATTAGGGATTAATAGTACGAGTGATGTTTGGAAATTTTGCCAAAATTGGACGAGCCGCCGGGGCGAGTCCAATTTGGCAAATTTCCAAACATCACGAGTAGGCTATTATTAATCCCTAATTGTACGAGCAACATTGCATGATTATTTGTTTATTATTAGCATGACAAAATTGGATACGTACTTCTCAATGTGAACATCATATTCTCTCGCCAAAGCCCAGTTCTGCCACACTTTCAACCAAAATTTGGTGCTTTTGTTTGTATTTTCATTTAGTTCTTTTGTTCAAGCAAAATTTGGTGCTTTTGTTCGTATTTTCATCTAGTTTCTTCACGGCAATTTCATTTCACGCTTGTATTTAAAATACGTTTCCGCCATTTTGTTTGTTTTGGGAAAATCATTAATTGTACTGCAGTACAATTAATGAAATAATTGTACTCCTCTCAACCAATCAGCATCCAGTAATTTTGTCATGCTAATAATAAATACTGTAATAAACCATAAAAATTTTATATTTAAATTGCAATTGGCATATAACTTTTTTAGAAAATCTATCTCATTATTCGCTCATAAGTATTTTCATCATTTGGCCAGAGACCGCCAGATTAATGCTTCCTACAATTTCAAGCTAGCGCTACGATAGATTGGGAGCGCTTTTTGATGTATCTATTTTAGAAGACAAGGGTCACGCGCGCAATGAGTTGTGGGATATCGTGTATCAAATTTCAAGTGTGATTTGCAAATTTTCGACTTTTTCGTTTGAGTATATTTTGCCCAAGAAGAGTCCATGGTATTTATCTTATTTTGTACTGGATAAGTGACTCCGAATCCTGCCGAAGGCTTATTGATTTCAGGTATGAAATATTATTGTTTATATCATATAATTATAACGTACATCGACCGTATTTACTCATTTTATCTTGTGGCTGTTGGCCTGTTGTAGTGTTGTGGCTGCTAAAATTTGAATTTGCGCGCGAGGTTTTATATATTGAATTATTTCATTTCAATGCCGTCAAATGTTAGTTAAAATCAACAATTCAAATGTTGAATAAACACATTATAGTAAATACTGGGTTTCACTTGTTTGACAAAACTCGAGAAAGCATGTTTGAACCCAGAGGAGGAATGAGGGTCTTCCCACAATGCATTGCATCTCATTATTATTCACAATTACGATTTTCAACGAACCTTTGGCGAAAAGTTGTTGAAATACATTGCGATTTTGGCTCCGTATATCTCGTTTTTTCGAAGGTATGTTTTTATATTTGTATTATTTAAGATCCTAATTAAACTATTCTCAACTTGATTGGTACAGGAATTGCTTTTTAGTTATGTTAATTACGTATTGTAATTATGCTTGATTCGGGTCAGTGGACACGCCACAAAAGTGGCATTCAAAAAATGCGGAAGCTATATTCATTTTTTTGAGGGGAAATTAAAATAAAACACGTCATCGAATTAAGGAAGGTCTATTCTTTAAACTAGTACTTTAAAACTCAAAGTAGCTCGACGAAATTGACTAGTAATCGCGGTTTGAAAATTGGGTACTTTTGCTATATTCTTTCGCCGATGGCGGGAATTGACCGGGCGGTTATCATTTGGCGCGAATTAAAAACTACAGGACGAATCACTATTTTCTTCAAATTATTTGGAACAAACGCGTACATGTTTCCACGTACTTTAAGTATCATGTTACCCTTAAGCTTAGATATGCTTGTGTTTAACTGTACTGAGTCTACTGACCGTATTTTAACCATTTAGCAATATTAGCGATGTACAAGCACATGTTGTCGAGGATGTTGTCATTGTTGATGAAGCAAATGATACTGCTAAGCGGGTATATACTTCTGAAGGTAATACGCCTGGGAAACCTGATAAGAAGACACGAAGACGTTCTCATATGAAGAATTTAACATCCAGTCGAACATTGTTTCAGAGTCCTGGAACATCATCAAAGCCGGCAAAGGTACATAATTATCCAGATTTATACAATGACAATACAGTACAACTGAAAAAAAAACTATTCTAATGTGACATGTACTTAAGAATGTATTTCAACTTTTGTTCAACTGAAGAGCAATTTCCGATTTAATAATTGAAGTTTACACTGTTTATTTTGTAGTTTCCTAGCAGAAAGATTTATCTGACTCCTACAAAGAAGTAAAATATCATAAATGGACCTTTGAGGAAGATAAGGCACTTGTTGAATTCATATCAATAGCCAAAACAGATCCAAAGTATCAGTATGGAACACATGTTGTTGCAGAGTGGCCATCGTTTAATGCGAAGAACTGTTTCTGTGATGATGGTGCCATGCATATTCAATGCAGTACTTCGTCAAACATTCTGCTGTCAAGTAAGTTTGTTCGATTTCTTTATATAAATAGATGTACTACATGCAAAATTTAAAAGAAATAGATGGTTCCATTTAAAGGTCTTATTTAATTGCGCAATTTAGTTTTTTGATGTTTCATGATTATGACACAGAGTGACATAAAGTGAAAGTTTATTAGCATATCATATGACCAGTTGCCATGACTGAGATTGAGGATATTGTTAACGATTATCATGAAAATGTGCCCTAATCATAAATTATGTCACTTTATTCTTTCTGTTTGTTATACTTTATATAGATCGCCGTCTACGAACACGAACAACTGTTTACTACAGAAAAAAGTTTGCAACAGTGCAAGATGCTGAAATCCATTATGGTTTGACACTATCTGACAGCTTAGCAGAACTTGTGATTGATAAGCGGAAAGCTACATCTCGTAAATCTAAGCCTGTCGCGGAATCAGCAACACAGCCACAACACAACAACCTTGCAACAGCAACACCGTCACCGCCGCCACCACCACCATCATCACCACCGTCAACAAGCAATGCTAAACCATTGCCTACAGTGGAAAATGTATTTAAAAAACTTACAACTCTTCTGGACAATGATGAATTAGAAGATTTGTTGAACAAACTGTTTCTGCACCTGGCTTTGGCACATAATATAACATCTAATCCTGGCAATTACTGTTCAATGTCTATTAAAGCAATGGAACTGTTAAAAATCAACAACAAGAACAACCTGTTGTATAAATTTGCCTTGGCATTGTGCAATACTAAACCTGGTACTGATGAGCCTGTATTTCCAATGGACAGAATGCCATTTGGATTGGTTGAATATCAAATAGAGTTCTTCAGTTGTACTCATGTAAAACAGGTACTGTTTTTAGATAATGCAATTGCATAAATGTTTCTAGCCCCTTTAAATACTTTCCAAAAATCTCAATATATAATAATGGTCATTCCAAAAAAAAACATCCATACCACACCACAAGGGAATAATTTGAAGTTAACCCCCCTACTCCCTTCAGATGTCCTAAATAATATAGTTACTACTAATATCAGAAACAATGTTTTCTCCCCTCCCCCTCCGGATGGCAGAAATTTCCTCTGTGGGACGAGTGTGGATCTTTTCTGGAACGACCCATTTGTGATATCAACATTGCCGAAAGTGAACAAATATGTTTGCTATTTTCAGTATTGAGCAATATGCACATACCGTATGGTTGTTTGTAAATGTTTCTGTATTGTCAAATACTGGTTACAAATACGATGACATCCTAGAGTGAAAAATCCTGAAATATCGATATATATGATTTATGCAAATATACATGCCATGGATGTTGGTTTTTTATATTTTAATTATTCAAATTTACAGCAACAATGTACATATTAAGTATGGCATAGACAGAAAATAAAACAGGAATTATAATGTCATTGTTTGCATTTTTTCTCACATCCAGATTAAGATGCCTGATGACTTTCTTCAGTGGCATGAAAGTATGTGTGCAGAGTTCCCCACACGTTTTAACCGTCTGTTCAGGGGCCCAATGTGGAGTGGTGTTGATGAAAATTATTATGGCTATCCAATAATGGTCAGTACTGACAACTACTATATATTTATTGTTCATTGTTATGGCCATTAATGTTGTTAAATATAATATATATTTAATTAATGTGTAATAGTATTGTCTGGCAATTAATTATGTTTAAATTTTCATTTCAACCCAGCTGGTAGATCCTTATGATTTAACCTATTGAGTGGCTGCACTATCCACTTGACAAGTAAAATTGTCTGACGTTAGACAGAGTAAAATACTTAGATGGCATTAGACGGAGTAAAATACTAAAGTAGGGTGCATCAGGGTGCATTGCCACTTAAAGGGTTAATGTCGAATGTATATATATAGCAAATAAGGCTTAATTAAAATGTTTCTATTATATCACTTTAATTAAAAAATTAGTATATTAGAACTGTACTAAAATTCAAAACTCATTTTAAGCATTTTAAATTATAGCAATTGTACCAATTAAATTTTTTTTGCTTGTCTATATCAATTTTAGGCAAAGGTCAATGTTGCCTGTATTTCAACCAGGACAGTGGCAATCAAAACTGCATCATCACAATTCAGTGATGAGCCTATAATACAGGTATTTTAATACTGCTTGTTATGTCCCCTTTTATTTACATACAAAGAGTCTGTGCAAAAACCATCGACTGATTTTCTGGTGTGGGGGGGGTGGGGGGTGCACCACAACCCAAATATTTGCACCCCTCAGAAAGTTTTTCCACCCCAGCTAGAGAAATTGGTACACCCTAAGAAATTTAAATGCTCATTTTGGACTACTGTAAAGGCTTATTTCCACTCCAGAAATAAGAATCGGATCGAACCTGATTGGAACAAAACAAAATATGTGCATGCGGCATCAATACAAATGTTTGGTTCCGATTTATCCGGCAACGTTGCTGGCCAGATAATAAAAAGAAATATTGAATAATAAAAGAATTGAAATATTTATGTTTGGGTCTGGTCCCGTGGATTAAACTTTGCGACCAATCAAAATGCCGTATTATCTCATATAAATTAAAATAATTAAATAATACATGTATAAAATTTACAAAATAAAGGATGTGAGACTGGAATGAGCTCCATTTTTCCTTTTCCGATCAGATCATTCCACTTGTCCTTTTACTGGAAATTGCTAGTTGGATCGGACCGGATCGGAAAAACTAGCTCTGATCCGGTCCGATCCACTGCTTATTTTCCAGTGTGGAGATTAGCCTATATAAATAAGACGAAAAATAAGCTTATGAACAAAATAATACTAAAAATCTCAAAATTTTCCATTTTCTGGAGGCTGTGCATGTGTGCAGATTTAATAAATATATACCAGCCGGTTTTACACAAGGGAAACCTAAGGTGTAATTCTATGAAAAGCAGGTACTGTACAGTTAAACAATGTATATCTTTTCATATTAGGAACAAGCACTAAAAGACATGAAAGCTGCATATCCTTCAGGTCGTTTCTGGATCAAAGGTGATTGGTGCGATATTAAACCAGCACTTCAGCAATCAGTTAAAGGTGTTTGGAATGGAGACTCTGATTTAGGAGATGGCACACTTCAGAACATAAGAAATGATTATGAACAAAGATTGAAGACATTTAAAAAATTGGCATCACCGCATAATGATATTGAGAAAGTGATGAACATGATTGAGACAGTCTCAACAGATCTGGAAACTGATAAGCAGTTTTTAACACAAGGTTTACAGAAGGCACAGAAGGCATACACAGAAAAATGTAAAAAACCAAACCCATCAAAGAAAGTACTTATGGAACTTTCATGGGAAAGAGTCGAATATAGTGAACTGTTACAACAATGTCAGTGTCTGCTTTCTTATGTTAAAACATTGAAAGTCTCTGTTGGTCAAAGTTCTCAAGTGTTGCATGTACAGAAGAGCATGTGTGAAAAGACATCTGATTGGGAGAAATATATGCGGAATTTGTTTATAAAAAGAAGACAACCAGCAGCAACTCATGTTTTCATCTTTCTTCTATCTGATGAACGTCGCAACAAGAAACCGTACTGTCTACCAATTCAGTATGTCCCATACCATTCGCTGAAAGACCAAACTGTACGAGAGCTGACTAATAACATAAGACAAGAGATGGCCAATCTTGGAATGCTTTCTATTGGTTTGTAGAATATTTATACTACCCAGTGCCATAACATATTCAAAATTTTCAAATACTCCACTTGTGGGAGTCAAGTGTCGCACAGTTTGGGCACAAGTTTTCTAAGGGAATTTTGAATATAGAGTCTCGAGCTCTGAAATGCAATTTACCAGACTTTGGGTGGAGAATTTAGAGAATTCTGATCATGATCAGAAGACGACATTGTAACATACTACTGTATCAGAGGCCTACCTGGCCCATATATTTGCTCTACAGCCTGAGCCTGGGGACCCCCATTTGGCATGTTGAGGTTGGTGCCTCTGGGTCCGCCCAGTCCGAAAATTAAGCACAGGCACCCGCCATCTGCCCATGGGCATGTAAAACAAACAGTGCGAGTAAATACAGTGGCGAAGCCAGCCCAACAATTTGGTCATGCTATGCAAATTTTAAATCATTCATTTCTTTAGAAATTGATTGTTTTTATGGTGTATTATTAATTTAATTAACACAGAAATATTTGCATAGCATGCCCAAACTGTCGGGCTGGCTTTGCCACTATGAGTAAATAATTATTAATATTATTATCACACTATTATTATTAGGTTTTGTCACTGATGGAGAATTCAACAGCTTGAGAACAAAAGGAGAGAAACGCCCATTACACGTGGTGCAACTGATACGAGATGCTCGTGAAAGTGTCAGCAAAAAGTCCAAAGGATTTTTATTAAAGTTGATTGTGAGAACAGGAGGTACTGCACTCATAACTCCATATCTAGTAATCTTTTCCCCCCAATGCGACCAATAATTTTAGTATATTTTAAAGTGGATAGCATGTACACACCATAAATTGGAGATGTAGTTTACATATTTTGACAATCAGAAGAATAAGAATAAGATGAAATGGAGTACAAGATGAAATGAATTGTGTGCATGTGTTTAATTTAATTTCCTGCATATTAACCATATTTTACTTAATATGCTAAACAGCTGTATCGGGAATATGTATACAATATAAATATGTATGAAAAATTTGTTACTATTTAAATTATGCGAAATGTGTGTGCATGTATGTATTAACAGATGAAAGGTTTAGGTGTTAGATAAATTAACTGTAACTTCATCTATCTATTTTCAGTTGATGATGATGGGAAGCCTGTGACGGAAAAAGCAGATCCAGCAATACCTTCTGATGTTATCAACCTATCGCATAACTTGAGACAGGATGGATTGAGTTTATTTGAGGCTCTTAAATGCATAAGGATGTCCTTAGTACCAGAAGGATATGAACCCTATCCCTTCAGAAATGGAGTAGAAGAAAGCCAGGAAGATATGCTTAAGTCTATTATCGGAACATATCGATTCAGGGATACTGTCTCCAAGTATGTGTCAGTTGGTGTAGATTTTTCTACCTATATTACATTCCAGAGATTGATGATGGGACTGGTGAAGCTTTTCATGAACGGGAAGATCACTGCCACATTCTCAAACGCATTTGGAAGCACACAAGAGAAGAAGGACCACCTGGAACTAACTTGCAAGGTTTTGATGATGCAATGCGTAATCCTGGCACTGGATTGACATTTGCAGCTCTTACTGGCGAGAGAAAACAATCTGTGGTTGATGCGGAAAGAATGTTGTCGTACCTTGTTGCCAAGTTTCTTAGTGAAAATGGTAATGAAAAAGAAGGAGAATACATCAATATTGTTGCAGGATGGCATGAGGCTGCAGATGGCAGAGGACTTTCTGAGCTGGAGAGATGCAAGAAAAACTATGCTATGCTTAACATGATCCTGGATGACTGGATGCCATGGCATAAAACAACACCTAATTTTGCTACCATCGACATTAACAGGTATACACGAATTCTATAAAATTTGATAGCAAGGTATTTATTGATGTTCAAGCGCATGTAATACAAAAGTGCAGAAAATTGCAACAAACACAGATTTCGTATCATTTTCATAAAAATTGGTGCATGTACAGTACAATGAGTTTTTATGTAAGTAAATCTAGTGATAATGTTCCATGGAAATTATGTATGATATGTGAAATAATTTGACTCATTAATTAAGTTGCATTGCGCCTTTATACTCTAATTATTTTTTACTCTAATTATTTTTACTCTAGACCTGTATAACACCATGTGGACAATGTTGTTTGAGTGCACTGGCACTCAATGCGTTCATGTTGGGGAGGGGGTCAATTTTAACAAGACAAAAATAGGCCAATTACAGTATGAAGGTGTTAAAGTAAAACTATTTTGTTTTTTAGACCAATCAAAGGAATTTGTGGATTTTCAAGAGAGACTGTGATCGCTGTAACTACCAACATTGAAAGCATAGAGTATCGCAGAAGAGAAAGTGGCAGAATTGGATATCCCGAACATCCTAGAGCTGGCACTTCAGATGATGTAGAAGCATTTATCTCCTTGTTGCACGGTTTTCTTGGTAATATATGTACAGTGAAAGAGATGAAGTCATTGTGGAGGAAAAGTTGTAAGGTAAATTGAATGGTAGCATGAGAAACTGTTTCTGTAAATACACTGTGCTACTGATAATATGCTATGACCTGTTTGTTTAAGTGCATTTACATAATATGGCGCCAATTGGAATTAGTAAAATGTAATAAATGTCCATTCCCAATCCATATGTGGCTGTTCTCAATTAGAAAACATACATAATAAACAGGAACACAGATGGAAACTATGATATTATGTTTCAATTCGCTATATAATGTATATAATGTTTCAATGTAATGTATTATATGTGATCCTTTTGTGGTAAAATACTGTACCGGGTACAATTTAAAACGAATTTTATGTTTTTTATTGTTTATCATCTCTACCTTAGAGAGTATTGCAAACGAATTGATGAAGATTTGCCATTTTATTACTGGACAAGTAACGAACGGTTCAGAGAGTTTGGTGACCCCATGCCGAGCTTCAACGAAGTCGAGGAAGTTCCAGATGACACTGATGCAGCTGACCACCCACGCCGCCTTCACAGCTTAACTGTCAACAGACGAGAAGACTCTTCCATCTTCGCAGCAGGACGTCTCTTTATGCCAGCGCGTAACCTAACTACTGTTCGCCAGCGGCTTCACAGACCTGTCGTCGAACCTCCTTTACTGGAAGCAGCAATAGAAGGAATGGAAGATCTACTGGAAGATGATTTGATGGAAGAAGATTTGATGGAAGAAGATATGATCTAATTGGCAGTGGTAACAATATCCAGCTTGGACCTGGTCAAGGTTGAAGGTGTAAAACACCTTGGGCAAGTGACATATAATTTGTTTTAATATATTGAACCAATGATAATCACAGGAAAAATTTAATTTCTAATAATGGGTTTTGAATGGTTTTTAAATATTTACCATGTTGAATTAAGATGATAAGAGTCCAGTTTTTCCATTATAAATTTCCCACATGGTGAATTGGTAAAAATCATGTTTAATTTACCATTAATGGTATTTCAAATTTTTCCTATGAATGTAAATAGTTCTGGTACATGTATATACTTTGAGTTTGTTTCCATTTATATTTCATCATTCTGTTCTTGTTAGTTTTCTCTTTTTAGATGCTGAATTTGCTGTCATCATCTGATTACTGTACTTAGAGTAAGTATGAACGAATCGGATGAAATTGAGTACTGTAAGTATGATCCGGGTAGGCATGTACTGTAACAGACATACTTGCATTATTTCACTGCAGTGCTTTGCAATTTCTAATTAACATGTGGTTCAACCTTTGACAATTACATAATTCCATTCCGGTTTTTGGAGTCATTAATAATTGAACATACTTTCAGTGCATGCTATAAGTTTTATCACGGCTCTAAATTTTAAGTGGAAAATAGTATTAAAATAGTTTTAGCATCAAACAATGCATGCACACACTAGGAATTACACAATCATGCAAATGATTACGATTGGAGAGGTTTACCAATTATGTAATACCTCTAGATTGTTTTAATAATCATTAAGCTAGAGCAAAAGCATCACCTTTCATATACTTCATCATATACCATTCATGTGTACTGGTGAAATGAAAGGGATGCAACATTTTAAAAACTTCTCTTTACCTGTGCGCATAAAATTTTATTTTTAAAAATATTTTTATTATCTTTAATTAAGTACAGTAATGTTATGTTAATATTTTTTCGATTTTTTCAATAAATTTTATCAACATCAATTATGCAGTGTGTGTGATCTTTTTATTAATTTGTGATGATCAAGGGAAGACTATAGTACACTTGAAAACCATGAAAACCTTGAATAGATTGCCAAAAACTGCAGAACTGATAAGATGGTGTCCATGTGATACCAACACTGATGTTAGAATCAGGAAGGTGAGAAAAACACATACATTACAGGAAGACCGTGGTAGGGCCAAGACCGTACCACTCGAAGCTGGGGGGGGGGGCAAGGGTGGGTCTCGTCACGAAATCGCGAAGATCATTTTTAGATTGCACGAGTCACAAAAAACAAAATTTCATTTTCACGATTTTTAGAAACACAGAAGCGTAACAAAGTCTGAAACCATTTAATGATTTTCTAAACAATAGAAATCGATGTTAAGGAACACGAAGGAAACAAATGAACTTACAAACCTCAAGAAAGACAACCGCGGGAAACAAACTATTCATTTTTTAACCTTAATGTAAATTTGGGGCGAGTTTTAAACGCGTAAACATTCACAAGTTAGGGTAAAATATTGGTAAATTCAAGACCTTAGCTAGCCTTTTAGCTCTTGACGATTCACGGCACGCATATTAATCACAATTCACGGAATGGTATTTCTTCAAATCACGAAGCACCAATAATTGCTTATCATGAGTCACGAAAATACCCTTGCCCCCCCCCCCTCTGAAGCTCCCCAGCTCTATCCTTACAAATAAAAGAAATTCAGTATCACACCAGACACCAATAAAAAATTTTGCAGCTTCTGCCAAACATTTTGTTTGAACGTTCTTTTATACATAGTATATATATATATATATATATATATATATATATATATATATATATATATATATATATATATATATATATATATATATATATATATATATATATATGGATGTCCAAATCTTTCTTTTGTCTATACCATATACAGATCTTCCTTGTGTCTGTACCATGTCCAGATCTTCCTTGTGTCTGTACTATATCCAGATCTTCATTGTGTCTAACCATATCTTCCTTGTGTCTGTACCATGTCCAGATCTTCCTTGTGTCTGTACCATGTCCAGATCTTCCTTGTGTCTGTACCATATCCAGATCTTGCTTGTGTCTGTACCATGTCTTGATATTCCTCTTGTCTATACCATGCCATGTCCAGTTAACAGAATGACTGAAAAAGAAACAAAGAAAAGCAGAGACTGTTCTGTGTGGCCATGAGCTTGCTGGCATTTACATTGGCTCAATTTTCTCAATACACACTATGGAAAGATTCATAGTGGATTTGAATAACCCTAACCCTTCTCAACTTTTGCATGGTAACATTTAGCTTATATAATATCTAAAATATTATAGATGGGGAACACCATTGTGAAGTACTTTTTTTAGCGACTAGTGCAATAATGCAATGTGGCTATTGTATGTATATGTTTGTTGCTAATCAAGTCACATATATTAATGCATAGTTATCTTTGTTCAATTCTAACCAGGGAATTGGGTGGCAATGAGCATAAACATGTAACAGCTGATACACACGTAAAAATGCACAAGTTGTTACAAGTCTCTTCACAAGCTGTCAACAAGTTGTGTTCGCACTGCTTGTTTCCAGTTTGTTTTAACAAGTTTGAAACAAGCTATTGACAACTTGTAACAAGCTCGATGGCATTATCAGCCTTGTTACAAGACTGTGCTAACAAGTTTGTCACAGCCATGATATACTGTAACAAGGGTGTTACAAGGTTGCAGGGGTTTTTCCAGGCATTTTTTAGGACTGTAAAACGGCCCCAAAATTGAATTGAGTTTTGAAACTCAATCTTCTCACCAAAAGATTCAGTGCAGTAAAGATGAAGTTGTTTGAGTTAAATTTGTGACGTGTGGAAATTAGTTTCAGTTGGAAACCCGACAATCAGGAAAAACTGGCTGGAATTCACTTCACAACACAAGAAAAACAACATATTCGCCATCTTTAACCAGTTTATAGTGTCTGCTTTAACACATTGCGTCTCTACACTTATTGGGTACAGGAGTCAGCCTCCTACAGCTGCCCCAGACCCCATGCAGCTGTTCAGCTAAACTCAATCTTCTCTGCAAAAACAGACCCAAGAGAAAATCCTGAAAAAAATCCTGGGTTGTCAACACAAGGTTGTAACAATCTTGTTATATCAAGCATGTAACAGAATTTTCAGAACAACCTTTCAACAGGTCTGATAATTTCGATTACAAGTTGTCAACAAATTGTTCCAAACTTGTTGACAACTTGTGACAAGCAGTGCGAATACATCTTGTTGACGGCTTGTTGACAGACTTGTTACAAGATGTGAGATTTTTATGTGTAGTATACAGAATGATATGAAACATACTCACCGGTTCAAAGTAATTGATAAATGGGGGCAGCATGTTCCAGGTTCTGAGACTTGACAGCTTCTAAATTAGAGAGGAAATGTATGACAGCTGTTCTTGTGTACTAGGTAGAAACCTACTTCTGATAATAGTATAATGTATTAGGACATCCAAAGGAAGAAGGTTTAAGTTCCAATTACCTCCATGGGTTTTGCTCTCTACTTACATACATAAAATGGTACAAAACTGGCCTGATTGTAATCCAAATGAGTGCCCATTTATTAGTAAAACTGTGTGGCGAAAATAATAAAGTAGGGTGCATTCGGGTCAAATGCAACTTAAGGTGTTAATTACTCACCGGTTCAAAGTAATTGATAAATGGGGGCAGCATGTTCCAGGTTCTAAGACTTGACAGCTTCTAAATTAGAGAGGAAATGTATGACAGCTGTTCTTGTGTACTAGGTAGAAATCTACTTCTGATAATAGTATAATGTATTAGGACATCCAAAAGAGGAAGGTTTAAGTTCCAATTACCTCCATGGGTTTTGCTCTCTACTTACATATATAAAATGGTACAAAACTGGCCTGACTGTAATCCAAATGAGTGCCCATTTATTAGTAAAACTGTGTGGCAAAAATAATAAAGTAGGGTGCATTCGGGTCAAATGCAACTTAATGGGTTAATTACTTTTGAACAATGTATATATTAACTGACAGCCATTTATGAAAGTGATATATAACACATGTGATGTATATGCTCACCTAAATAAATAGCATGTTAATTAACCAATTGAGTTGTATCGTGACTTTAAATGCATTCTTTATTATTTTACTCTTTCTAAACTCATCAAAGGGAGAATGCTGACACCACCCAAGAGTGAATTAAAATTTGAATTTAATTTTCTCTTTGAATTGCATTAATACTTGCCAATTTATATGGTTGTTATAGTTATTCATTGGATCATCTCTATCCCATGGTCCACGTTTGACAATTAATAATGAGGCACTGTATAGTAACTTTCTTTCTCTGTATGCATATGTTCTTTTCAAATTGTCCAATCCGATTGATTGTATCTCATTTTGCTGCAGAGCACACTTAAGTTTTGGAATTTTGTTGACTCCACAATAACCAATTATATGCCACTTTTCATTGTGAAACACCAAAAATTTCAATGCATTTGTGTCTCGAACATTGTCAGGTTCATGTTCCACTTTGAATTCCAATTCTTTATTTGCTGACCTCTCCACATGCATATCGCAAGAGCACCTTGATACCTTTCTTCTTGCCAGGATCCAACCACGACAAACTTCTCAGGATACATATTAACATCAAATTCAGTATTTCCATCAGTACTCTCATCCTCTCTCTCATCCTCGCTCTCATCGTCTTCATATTCACCACCTTCAGTGTCTTCCAGACCCAGCATCTCAGTCAACTGCTGAATTTCCTCCATTTCATTCTCTACATTCACTGTACCTCCTTCAGGTTCACCACCAACACTGCTACCACTAGGTGCTTCATCTAACATTCGGTGTGTATGAATGTCCGTCAGACAAACAGGATTTATTGGTAAATTAAAACAATTACAATCAGTTGGCTGATGTAAATCTATTGGTGGAAGCACACTATCCAGTTCATCATCTTGACTATCTGGGTCACTTGGTGGGATTGCTTGGGATGTTGGTGATGTTGAAAT